AACTCTTAGTCTGGCTACTAAATAAATCTATTAAAACAACCCCCCAGATTTGCTGTTTTGTAGATCTCTATTCTTTACTCTTCTGTTGAATATTTTTCAGTAGTATCTGCTAGTAATTTAACATAAAGGGAACTTTAGCATCATAAGGTGGTCTTTCTCCTCTAAGCAGCAATTTTTTTCTTCCAGCACAAGTTCTGCTTTTAATAAAGCTATGAAAGTTTTTCTACTTTCTCTACTTTCTTTTCGTCTTTTGGTTTTAATCATTTGGTTAAAATTTTGCATAACATACATAGTAGTGTTTCTGTCAATCCTTTGCCTGATTGAAACATGATTGAGCAAGTAAAAGCAGCAGTGATTCCATAAAGTGTATGTGACAAAGCCACAGAGTGGGTATAGAAACTTCTGCCTGCATTCCTGTGCAAGCCATACATTTCCAGACTCTATCTGCATGAGCAATTGCTTCACATATGTAAAAACACTCATGTTAATCCAGCTGTAATAAAAAAATCACCATCTGCTTTCATTTTAAAACTTCACATGCTCACAAAGAGCTTTATTTTGTTGTTGATCGAAAGTATTTTCCCTAAGAAACTAGTTCTCTGTTAGGTTGATCATTTTAGAAGGTGGGCAGTATTCTGCACTCTGCTCATCATCATCTTCTACTGTCTCTCAAACTAGAGGTAAAACAGAGCATGTGCTTCCAATCCTAAAGGGATGCCCCTGCAAATGAGCTGATTTTTTTGAGGAAAAAATTGTGCCTCTCCTTGAGAGAATTGCATCTGCTTTTCTCATGCTCTTTGGCAATGAGAGAAGGCAACTGCTAATACTGGAATATGTGGTGACAATCAGTGGATGTGCTGAGCTAATACTGGGGGCTGGTGTGAGCTGGAAGGATCTACGAGGATCCTGGTTCAAGAGATGCAAAGGGTTCTGTGGAGGAAAGAGTGACTTTTCCCCCCCAGGAGGAGCAGCTTGTCACAGGACGTGAGGGGAAGGATGGGGGAAAAAACACTGGTGCTGCTACTTGTCCTTCCCTAATTCCTCTGCTGTAAAATGAAGACCAAAGAGGTAACAGTGGTCAGGAACATGCCTTGGGAAGGCTGGCTGAAGTTGCTGGGAAGGACAGCCAAGAGCAAAGATGGGGAGCTGCCCTTGCCATCTTTGGTGAAGAGAGAAGCAAAGCTGCCTAGTCTTGAGTTGGGTCTGTGGGGGTCAGTCAGGTGTCAGGGCTGTGCATGACTTGCCACCTGCAGGGCTTCCACAGATCCAGGCTGGGTGTTTGGAGCTGCCAGCTCCAAAATACCACACAGGCCCATTCCTGCTCTTTGTGCTCTCTGTGTTGTGCTGGGCAGGTGTTCTGGCTGGCTGCTCCTCCAGTGAGGTGCTTCTGGACCCATTCTGGCTGTATTGTCCTGCTGAGAGCTTACAGTGAGATGTATGTAAATGCATGTAAACTATTATGTGGAATTGTTATTTTGTTATTATAGGGTTGTAGTGTGAATGTATGCCAAACTGGAAACCATTACCATAATTATTTACATTTTATTATGAGGATGCCTTTGGTGCTCTGGTGCTGAAAGGCTGAACTGAGTGGACCAACCTATTCACGAGATCATAAGTTAAGATAATCCTTTGCATCTTCTAACACTTCTTGCCTCTTACATACAAAGCAAGGTGCTTTGGTTTAAGCAAATGGGGTTGTTCATATTCCAGACCTTCACCAGAAGAGTTAGGGTTTCTTTGCTCTTCTGGAACTGGTCCTCCTGAGGAGCAGAAGGAAGCAGGTTACAAAGACTTGTTATTGCGCTGCTAGCATTGATTTGGGAGAATTAAAATAAGTTAACCCAGAAGTTACTCCTAAAGTTAACCCTGAAAAAACATCTGTTAACAGCTTGGTACATATTAATGGGTTACAAGGTAAACGTGTTTCTCAGCCCTAATGACCTTTTCCTTGCATTAATTTTACTAGCAAATTTTGGTTGTGGTCAATATTCTCCATTGCTTGTCTGCTCCAATAAAATAAGTTTGTAGCATCTAAATGCCCTGAAATACGTAAGTGCCTCCATTTTAGGTCTGATAACATTGAGACTTATTTTCATGTTCTCACTGAGTTCTATGGCTCTTTTTAAAAGATGGGCTAGAAATATTTGGCAGGACCTTTCTGGGAGCCTGTTGATACTAATAAAATGCTTAAAAAACAATCAAAAGTGGAAACATGAAATAAAGGAATTGTACCAAGGAAAATCTCTCCTGAGCTGGGACCAAGAATCCCAGCAAGGCCCTGGCTGTGCCTGCATCTAAGAAGGGCAATATTAAAAAGCAGAGTTGGCAGCCTCAGCAGTAAATTCCTGACTAATCTGATTTGCATGTCCCTTCTGCAGAAACCAGATTTTCTAACACAGGAGTTTTCAACACTCATATTTTACAGGATTGCATAAGAAGAAAACACTCATTAGTTACAAGATACATGTTACCTGTTAAAGAGTCTGTGAGCAAAGGTGGAAAGACACTACAGAAAGGTAAAAAAGAGTTGAAAGGGTTTGGATTGTTAATGGTTCTTGGTGATGGGGTCAAGTTTGCTTTTTGGCTGAAAGGGTTGAGATGAACACACTGTTCTTTAAGGGACTGTTGTTCATTATTTGGTTTGGACTTTTTCACTGGATGCTGCTTGTTTCATTTAATAGCTCTGTCTTAAAGTGCTGCTGTCTCTGACATGGCCTGATCATGGCTATGGAAACTCCTCACTGATTTAACTACTTGAACCCTTTCCTGGAATCTCCTAGGGAAAAGAGGTTTTAATTACAGAGAAAACAGGACTGATGTAGCTAAGTGGATTCAGGTATAATTTTACTTTTTTTTTTTATTTATCATTCAGTTTTTTGCACATGCCTTGTTTCTCTGGAAGTAAGGGAGTAGGTGAGGAGCAAAGGGGTTTTAGTTAGAAAGACCATGGTGCTATATAAAATCCATGGTAGTCATAGGGTGTAGCTGAGAGGAATGCACAATGCTGTATCCAATCAACAAGCATTCATATCTTCCCATTTTTGAGGATCACTTCTTAACAAGACAGCAGAAACACTTACTGGACAGTAAGCTGCTGGCTTATACTCCCTTCTCAGGAATAAACAAAGCCTTTTAAGGGTGACTTTTATTTCTAGTGATATTAATCTTTTAAAACCTTTAGAATCAGAGTAAATATTCAACTTCCTAAAAGATGGAGGCAGTCACTAGAAACTTTTCTGTAGCATGTAGAAATACATCTCCAAAGTACCTTTTTTACATTAAATATTTGCAGATGGTGATGGTTTATAAGGATCTAAAGAATCCAAATGTTACAGAATTCTCAGAAAATAAATAGAGCCCTCTGAAACCAGTGTGATTATTCAGAAGGCAGGCAAGCATTCTTTATTGAATTCTTTATTGGGGGATCACGCCACGTACCATGTGCCATCAGAGAAAAATCCTTCCATTTTTATTTCACCTGTACAATGCACAGTTGTGACAGGTACATATAATTTTCCAATCTCTTGAGCCAATCTGTTCTGGTTTAAGTTTTCTATCAGAACATCTTGCTTTCTGTCAGTGTATCTAAGTATACCCCTCACTTTATAGCTGTGTGTACTATAGTTAGAATTAACTTGTTCTAAACTGCTTTGTTCTACTGCAGAGTTATGTTCTGATTTTATCTCCTTGCTTGCTTAGATCAAATTCTCCTGTATCACAAGGGCCAAGTTCAATATTAATTTTGAAACAGCCTTGCCAATGAAAGGAGTTAACTTAGCAAACAGGGAAAACGATTTTTTTTTTCTTTTCATTGTTGCAGCAGTTCTACATAAAAAGCCATGAGACCGCTCCTGCACAGACACTGAGGTGCAGGCACATGTGTCTGTTTTTGTAGTTATACGTTGTCCCTTCTAAATTAAAGCTTGCGCAGGGGCCTTACTTACCACCTTTTAAAGATGAGTTTCTGTAAAATTTCGCTTGGCATTTAACAATGAATTAAGTCAAAAGGAGCTTTGGAGGAGTGTTGAATTGCAAAAAAATCACTGAATTACACTTTTTTTTTTGCTTGTTATATAAGCACAGTCTTCAAAGCCTGAAGGATTTTATATACAATTTAGCCTCAAACCAGTGAAGTAGGACACTCAAATCTTTGTATACTAATATAAACTGAAATAGAGAAGTGATTTGCTGCTTGTACAATAATAGCTATAGAGAGAATAAAGTTTTGGAGTGTTTAGTCTTAAACCTACAATTTAGTGAGTGAAAACCACAAGCTTTTACAGGGTCATCTCAACAAGCATTTTAGAGCTTTCAAATACACATTACAAGGAGTATCTCTGAAATACTACTTGTCACACAGGATTTTGCCATTGGAGTAATACTATGACACCTACCATTTCTGTTCTTTTCACTTGTCTAAACTCTAAACAGCTCTTCAAGTAGATTTAGTGTGGTGGGTGTTTTTTGTTGTTGCTGTGTTTTGGTTTTTGTGTTTTGTTTTTTTGTTTGTTTGTTCTTTTTCTTAAAGAAAATACAGGTGTTCTCTAAGAAACAGAGCTTTTTGATTACTTCAAAGAGGATGTGCTCCAGTAAGATTGGATACATATTCAAACCTTCTCAGCTCGGAAAAGATTTGTTTTCAGGCTGGTATTCAAGAATGTCTCGTACTGCTGAATAAAATATACATAATCTGGAATTCTTCAGTATTCCAGATACTGAATTCTTTCATGTATTTACTCATCAGTCTGCAATGATGAGTCTCTCCAAGAGAGACAAGCAGTAGTATGTGAAAGGAAACAGTTGCAAAAATACTGATAATGCCCGAAAGGAAAGCGAAGAAACTAAACATTTTCGGTGGCGGCAGAAGAAAGTGGCGGAGGGTCTTCCTGGGGAGACGCTCTGGGATGAGCTGCTGGCAGCCGGGCGACCGGCCGAGGCCACCCAGGAGATGGTGCTGTTGGATCGGAGAAGCGGCACAGCCCTGACCCAGAAGCATCTTTCAATGCGGTCCTCCCTGTTTTCCATCTGTGTTGCACGTTACTCTTGGGGGTCCTCGTTTTCTTTTGGGAGAAGAAGGTGTCTGTGTTGGACCCGGAGCGCATCCCGGTCTGTTGTGTGATGCCATTCCCAGCCAGCCAGCCCCGCGCCCTCGGTGGAGATGACGGCAGTGTTTGAAGGCGATGTTTTTCCCCGGGACTGCGTGGCTGGCGAGATGGTAACGCCGAGGCGGGGAGCAGCTTCACAGCTCGCTGCCCTCACCGCAGCCACCGCCTGAGCAGCGCTGTGCCACAGCCGTGCCACAGCCAGGCGTTCTCCCCGTGCCCGTGCTTCGCTGCCCGGCGTGGGGAGCGGCACTCCCACTCCCGGGGGCTCCTCGGGGACCCACCGCCTGCCGGCTTCCCTGCGCCATCCTCCGGGGCGGCCTGTCCCCCCGTGCACGTGCCTGGGAAAGGTAAGCGCAAGGGCGGCTCTGCCGCCGCACGGCGAGGACGCGCCGGGGCCGAGCGTGGGGTGAGCCGGGGTTTCGCCCCCCAGCGTGCAGCAGGTGCGGGATGCTCCGGGCAGGGGAGCCGGGAGCACCCCATGGGACACGCGGCTCCCGATGGGATGCTCAGCGCCCGTGCACTCTCTCCCCATGTCTTGGGGCAAGAGGCACCAACGCCCCTCCTGCACCCGTGGGCCCATGGGGGTGCACAGGTCTGTGGACGGCTCAGGGTGGGAGAATCTGAGGTGGCAAGGGGGAATTTGGGTTTCTTTCAGTCCAGAGTATCTCAACACAGCAAGAGGTCAGAGGGTTGTGGTGACGTCTTCTGTTGATTTGCTGTTTTACTGCCATCCTCTCCTTGGGTTCAGTGGTTTCAAATCTGGCCAGAAAAGATCAAGCAGAATCTGGAGCAGGTCAGAGGATGCCCCATGACCAACTGTAGCAGCAAAAAGTCATCAGACTGGGCATTTGCAGAATATTTAATGAAAGGGATCAGCAAAAGGCCTTTCCCTAGCTGCAAGAGGGCTTGTGTCTCTAAGTATGCCTGCATGGATAACCAGGCAATAGTCAGGGGTTTGTACGTGACATAAATCAGCAACTCTAACTTCTCAGCTCTTCTGCTGGAGCTCTTTTCTTTTTGAATGGGTATAACCAAAATTAGGTCTTCCTACATGCAGGCAGAGATGCCAAAGGCAAAGCCTCCTCCACGTATCTGGGTGGGTTACAAGGCCTCACTAAGTGCAGCCACTGTCCTGCTATGAAAGCCATTTTGAGTTTGTTGTCCATATCTCTCTGTGGTTGATGTGAATGGTGGCATCAAAGTGGGTGGTGAGGAAAGAGCTATCACGGGGAGGATGGATGAACCACCCTTGAAGTGGACCCACTGGGCAGGCCAGTGGTATAAGGATTTGAGGATTAGGTCTGTTGTGCTGCATTTCAACTCCTCTTTCTAAATCATTAACAGCAATTCAATGGCTAGAGGTAGGATTTTTTTTTTTAAATTTATTTTTAACAATAAATGTTAAAGCTCAGCTGACACTTTGTGGGGGCTTTTGCTACATGAGTAATGGTTTGGCAATGCATGAGTGCATGAGCTAGGTAAGGAAGGAATTGAGGAACTCTGCTGTTTGGAAGTATTTAAGTGTGTCAGCAGAAGGAAACCAGAAGAAAATACAGAAGAACAACAATTTAGGAAGGAACATAACAGAAATTAAGTAGTCTGAAGCAAGCCTATTCAAATACCTTTGTTTTTCACATGAACTTGAGGTACAGTTCATCTTACTCTGCTGAAGAACTGCCAAGTTTTTAGGCAGGAGCTGGATGCTGCTTGGGCCTGAGGAGTGAGTGCTGTGAGCCGGAGATGGCTTAGAGCTCAGGCCACAACTTTAACTTGATCAAAATGGTCCTGCACAGTTCTGTCTCAGAAAAATAAGCTCTTCCTACATATTAAAGAAAAATCTCAGCAAGCAGTAAGTTACATATTCTGTTTTGCACTAGACTCTTGGATAAAATAAAGTGCTAAGGATCAGCACACTGACTCAAACCTAGGAGACCTCTCTCCTCTGAGACCCCAAACCACCCAGCCGTAGTGCCAGGCCTCCTTTCAAACCCAGAAACTTCGTAATTCTTTCTGAGCCAGGAGCCCCTGCCCCAACAAGTGGGAGAGTGTTCCCTCTTCTCTGCCTGGTGGCTGAGTGCTTTATTTGAGATGGGCAATGCTGACTTGACTTCCCTCCCATTCAGCCTTTTCATGTCTGGAAGCAAGTATTCTAATCACTAAATCACTGCACTATTGCAGGCAAGCACCTTCCACCACCAGGTTGCTACTGATATCAATTACATACCCCAGGTTTGCCAGCTACTGTCCAATTCTTGCTTTTGGAAAGTCTTAAAACAGGGCTAGGTACCTTTTTTTCCATCTTGGTCCAGAGCCATAAGTAGATATGAAATATCAGATCAAAATGCCCCATTTTTAGATCCTGACATACTGATTTTTGGTTCTAATCTTAAGCAATATGCAGGGAGGAATTCAAGGCAAGATTGCACCTGAAGCTGCTAGCAGACATATTAATGTGATATGATCCAATAGCTTAGTGGGAAATAAAGTACAAAAAAGTGACTGAAATTTTAACTTCAGAGCACCTGGGTTTTGGTCTTGTTGAGAGGGTTTGTCAAGAAAACTCATGAGGGAAGAGTAGAGGCAGATGCCATGAATTCCACTAAAGAACAATAATAGTCTGGAGAGCACATATGTTGCTGACAACAGTAATACTAGGCAAGCAAAGAGGAAATTGGTAGAACTTAACGGCAGGGACCCTTTCCAAATTTGAAAATCTAACCTCAGCTTTCCAATACATTGGTTTATTAATTAGTGTAAAGACCAGATGAAAGGGAAATAAAAAGGAAGTGTGGTAGACTGCAAAAAACTAAAGGTATAAAATAAGAATGCTTCAGGTTTATCAATCAGAAGAGTAGGAAAAATTAAGTGGCAGTTCAGAAGCTGGATCACCCAAGATTAAAGGCAGAAATTAAAGAAGATAAAGATATTGCTGAGAATCTGAATTATTTGTTTGCAGAGCTCTTCGGCACAGAGAATATCAGAGTGATACCTACTGGGACTTGCTCTTTTCTGGTAATCAAGATGTGTCAGAAGGAAGAGCTGGAACAAATCGATAATTTAAAAAGCAGCAAATCATCAGCTCCAGATGGTACATTGAAAAGTTTTGAAGGAGCTTAGTATGAAATAGCTGATCTGCAGCAAAAATATGCCTTCCTTAATTAAAACCAGCTATTTCACTGGAGAAGTGGAACGTAACAATTGTACCTAAAGTTAAAAATGGGATTGAGATAATCTGAGGAAGCACACTATATACCCAGATATACATTTCTGTTCTATAAGCTGTTTGAAAACAGAATGTAAAGTAGAGAAAAATACCAAACCAGAACAAAAAAAAGAAAGAAGATAGGATCTGAAGAGCAAAGTTTCTGTGCAGGGAAAAGTCATGCCTCATCATTAATCTATTGTAACTCCAACTGGGACAGGCTCGTCATGGGCACACAAAAAGCAACCACTCTAATTTAGACAAATCTCAAAGGACCTTTGGCC